TGCTATAATGTTGAAATTATTATAAAAGCCTCATATATGGAATTGATGCCAGTATAAAATTATAAATAAGAATTTTATATGTTCTTGCATGTCATAGAATTTTGTTATAAAATAAAAGCTTTTTAAAATTGTAAATTTATATAATTGTTTTACTTATTATACATTTTTGTCCTATAAAGGTGTTATTTCCAAAGCTATGTGACAAATAATTTACTATAGGTGATAAATGGAATATATTGAAATGAGTATAAAAGAATGTAATAATTTTTAACTTTAATCAAGTGTTAAATAAGTAGTAGAAGGTCTTTGTGCAGATAAGATAATGACCCTTCTATATTTCTTTTGAGAGTATTATTGAAAGGTTCAGTCAGCACCAATTCATCTAATATTTACTTTTCAAGTTCATTTTATAATAATTATTATTCTCTCTAGACTCTATTTCTTAGCCAATTGCCATATGTTGCCATTTATTATTACATCGTGCAACAAAGTTAATCTTTATTCTTTATTTCATTTCTGTTAACGAGGTTTATAAGGCTCAAAAGGTTGAGTTGTTGATTCAGATATTTTATGATGGGTTTGAGAATTTTGCATCATTTGCTAATTATTTACTATTTTAACAATGTATATTTTTTATATTACCTTGAAGATGACCTTCTTTATTTTGTGGGGAGTAATCCTGATGAGCATTTGTGGTTAGTAGTACTTTTAATTTTTTTTTTGGAAACTTTATGTGAATTGCTTGTATGTTGCACTTGCTTGACTTAATCTTATGCTTTGTTGTAGCTAAACACAAATAAACATACAGAAAGTGAAAAAGAAAAGTGATTCAAGTCTTTCAATCCTTATAAAGGTTTTTATCAAGATCGTGAGTAAGGATAAATTTGGCATTGCTTAAGTACTCTAAATTTTGAGCATGTGGATGTACATTGATAATGGAAAGCTAAAGTACAAAAGAGACAGGGGTAGGGATTGAGTGTTAACTCTCCCACATAACTATTCTTATATAGTGGTAATTGTCATTTCTTTTTGAATCTTGATTATCAAGATTGTAACCTTGAGTGTCAAGGTCATAATCCTAACTATAAGAAAAATGCCTAAATGCATGGTTGTTTAGCTATGTTTCATTCTCCTATAACTAAATAAAGCTTTGTCTCGAGGCTCCTACTATTCCATTAGTTAGTTGGCTTTATTGGTACTAGAGTTCTTATGAGTTTAACCTTGAACTTATTGAGTTGCTAATGAAACTCCTCATCATCATTGTTCTCCTTGTCATACTCACTTTTATTATCATCTTCCATTACTATAAGCTACTTTGCTTTGAGAGTGTGGATTTCATTGTGGAGTTTTGCATTTTCTTTCATGAGCTAGTTGTTGATGCACTATGTCTCTATGCATACTATCCCCTGGAAGTACGTACTTTGAATGCTCCTTTTAAGTTGTTAGATGTTGCTTTAGATTTTGTTAAACTTTGTGTCAAGAGGTTGGAAGACAACAACATTGATTATAGCTTACAAAAACACTCATCTGTTCATCATGGAATTGTTGTGCAAAGTTTGTTGAGATTGGCATATGTGGCATTAGTTAAAAGTATTAGATTTTATCAACAAATTGGTGAGCAGCTGATGTGGCAACAGTGTAAATTTCAATCTGTGTATTAAGAAGTAAAAGCTTTAGTAAATATTAGATTTAATTAAACCTAAATAAGCTTAGTATATAGAGAGTTATAATACTATAAGAAAAAGGTGAAGATTTTACAATCATTTCTAATATTTTATTAATTTATAAAAAATATAAAGTTAGTTATGTTTTGAATACTCTAAGTACAAATTTTTAAAAAAGTGTGTAATATATAACATCAAAGTGTCACATTTAAAAAACTATAAACCCTTTTATTGTAAATAAAATTTTAAACAGTGTAGTATGAAATGATAGCTGAATAGTAATATAATAAATAATTACATGTTAAAATTTATCTAAGTGTAATAAAATATTTTTCTAAAAATAATTTAAATTATTTATTTTATTTTTAATATAATTTATTTTTATCAGTGTTGTTGATGCTCAAATGGCTCAAAACTTTCTATCTACTTGTTAATTATATTCTTGAGAAATGTCATTGATTTATTGTAATTATAGAAATAAACCCTTCTTTAAGAAGAGAATATTCTAAAATGGTTTCACTTTAATGTCATTCTTTTACCCTTCCCAGCTCTTATATAGATGGCCCCGGAAGTAGTGATCTTCGTGGCAGGCGACCGATTTGTCGATGAGAAGTTCAACTTGGAAGCAGCTGAATTCTTCCAAAAGATCTGCAAATGTGCACTGGATGCTGGAGGAGGCAGTCGCCTGCTTGTGGATCTTCCAAACTTCCCAGGAGGCTCGGATGGCTTTGATAGACTTCTCAAGGCCTTGCAAGAGCGTGGCAATCGGGTGGACGGGTCCAACGTTGCAGTTCTTCGTGCCGCCTCCAGCTTCTTGGAGATCCCACTCCTAGATCGATGGTGTGACCTGCTATGGATTCGCGAGTCTAGAGATGGCGACGCCATTGCCAAGCTCCTCGACAAGGCCCTGCCTACATTGACAGATTTGTCCACCCACGCCGAGGTATCGCTCTTCTTCTCGGATGCTTTGAGATTTCTTTCGATGCTGGAGGAATCGCTCGACAAGGTTTTCGAGAAGGTGATGTTTCATCTATCGAGCGAGCTTCTCTCCTTGTTCCTGTCCTGCTTTTTCGAGAAAAAAGTCCTCCCGTATGGTGCCTTTGTTCTCTGGGAGGTCGCGAAGTCCTTCGTCACTGCTCTACACAAGCTCATCTTCAAGGTTGGATGTGTGCAAAGGCTCCAGATTTGCCGCAATGCCGGGCTTTTCTCCGAGTTTCTGCTCAAGCATTTTCAAGAAAGAGTAGATCTCCATAAAGAACACATGAAGAAACTCCCTGATCGAGGCAATGTGGACGACACACTCGACGGCTTGCTTGCCATCTTTCCAGCTCTTGCGCTTTTGGATTTCCTGGCTGCTTCTAGTTCACGACTGAAGAAGATCGACCGCAACTTGATCAAGGCCTTGCAGATCGACTTCTTTGGGAATCTCCTTCCGTGCGATCAGAGTCGAAGAACTGGTTTTCCTGATTCCATCTCGGCTCTATCTCTCGCTAGAAACTTTGCGAGGCATCAGCCAGAATACACAAGGCTCGCCGTCCACTTCATGGAAGTCTACTTGCAAGAGTCGTGTCCAGGGCAGATGAATCTCGACGAGTTCTTGGAGGTCGCCGGCTTCATCTCCGATCGATCGACTGGTCACGACATTCTCTGCCAGGAGATCAACAGGTTTATAATGACCAGCATCGAGGACTTCGACAGGGAGAAGCTCCGGGAACTCTTGGCCAAAGTGGACTGCGCTAAACTCTTCGAGTTAAAGCTTGAGAGCGTCGTACTGGACAAGCTCGATCTGCTCCAAAGTTTCAGGAGAGAGATGCGTCTTCTCGACATGAAGATCAAGAGGAAATGTAGCTACTGTTTCGACATACCCACTTCCTCGAGCGATCAAGATTCCACCAGCGAGGAAGAATGCGAGCATCAGCGAAATCAGCATCAGCTCTCTCGCAAGAACAAGAGATCCAAAAGGTACGGAAAACTCTAGAATACTCTCTAAGTGTTTCCTGAGCTCGGAATCAATCTAGATCATCGCCGGAGACACAGCTATGGATCACGGTGGTCTCGCCCACGACAGGGAGCTCGTACACAGCGATGTTTCCAAGCAACGCGAGCGTGAGAGCGATCAAGAGAAAGGTAGCACATGAGCTTGTATCAAACGAGAAGAAGTGGCAGCTTTGCTATAATGGCGTGGCTCTAGACCCAAGGAAGACGATCCATCACTACTGCGTTGGCGATTTCTCGGTTCTGACCATTCAGGGGAAAGCTCCCCAGACTTAGTCAACGTTGGTCAACATACCAGCATCGAGGATTTAAGACGAGCATCGATCACGCCTTTCACTCAGTAATGATTTCTAAGGCTTTTCCATAGGTACCAAATTTCTACTTCTCTAACTTTGGAAGTCTTGGTTATGAGTGCGAGCGATTAGGTGATTCCATTCAGTAAGTCTCCACTTCAGCTTGTATAACTCTTTTAAGTTTCTTCTTTGAGATTCACATTTCATTCTTGTTTGAAGGCATGCAATGAGGGTGGCCCAGTTGTGCTCGGATACTGGCATAACAAGGATCCAATGCGATGTCCCCAACCCCGGCATTTCTAAAGGACGGAGAGCTCTAAACTTGGTCAAGAGCCTAAGACCGCTAACTCACAGGCCTGGAAGGTAGGCTATTGATTGCTCTGACTCGTGAGCCCAGGCCTCGAAAGCTTGAAAGCTTACCTTGGAATCTGGATGATGTCTTCGTCCGTGAGCATGAGCACAAGCGTTTGGCAGAAAAGTGGATCTTCGGCAAGGTTGAGTTCTTCTGGGATTTCTCTAAAACTCTGGGGTTGTGATCACAACTACAAGCCACCGCGAACTACACTTATCATACTAGCTCTCCTCACCAATGCCCCGAAGGTACAGAAACTCTGAGAATTTGCCCCCCAGGTCCACTCCTCATCCCTCGCAGCTCTGACGAATCTTGCAAGATCCGCGGCTATCACATTCCCAAAGGCACTGCGTTGTTTACTTTGGCCATGGGACGCGATCCAAGAATCTGGGAACCACCTCCAAGGAGTGTATACACCCTACGATGAGAGATTCCCAGGGCTAGCATTTCGAGCTCAATACCGTTTGGATCAGTTTGCCACTGAGATTGAGAACCCTCCAGTTGCTACTGTCTGGAGGATAGTTTCGAGAGTACATTGCTACTCAAGACTCAAACTTAATAGATGGTTTGTTATGTCCAGGGAAAGGTTTACACTCCTTGGAGGTGGTATAAGAGCTTTTAAATTGGAAGCATATTCTATTTGGTCTAATCCAAACATTTTGGGTTTGGCATTTTTCCCTTCTTTTATTACTTTAGGGCTCGTCCCAGCTATGGCTTCGTCGCCAATGGAGGACATGGTTGCCGACCTGGAGAAGCTTGCGGCGGCGCTCCCATCGTCACAGCCGCCATCGCCATCCTCGAATCCACGGCAAGGTCTGTCATTCTCGGTAGCAGGAGTAGGATTAGGCAGCGGCGGTGATGGCGGAGGCAGCGGCAGCTATGGCGAGCGCTGGGATCGACCGACGATGCCCTCAGAGCTTATGGACAGCACGCTCAGCCTGGATTTCGGCAATCTTGGGGCGGAGCCAGCGCCAATCGAGCCAAGAATCCCCGAAATATCTGGAATCGCTGGGGTTCCAGCAGCTCTAGCTCCATCGCCTTCCCAGAATGGGGAGAATGGGGAGAATGGCGAGAATGGCGAGGAACGGGGACGGCTTTTGATCCACTACGTGGGCGGCTCCATCACGTTCTTGCTCCAGATCGCCGTGGTTGCGTGGAGCGTGAGGCAGCTTCGCAGGGTCTTGGCTCGGCGGCGACAGATGCTTAGAGATGGACAAGGGGTGAGCGAGGCGAGGATCAATAGCCTTCCGTTCAGACCTGTGGATTCTCCGCTCTACTCGATGCTAAGTCCCAAGGCGGTGAGGAAGCTCGCGGAGCTGGATAGCGTGCCCTTCTTGCTCATCGACGTGAGGCATCCGGATGCTGTTCGTGCTAGCGCCTTCTCGCTCGAGTACGTGATCAACATTCCAGGTACTTCTTTCCACCTTTTGTTCTTGTTTGTTTTCCACTGTTTGTTTTGCTTGCTTGTTCTTTCTTTCTTTGTGTTTCTTACGTTTGGTTGTTTTGTTCTTACTTTCTTTGTTTGTGTTCCTTTTCTTTATTGCTCGTGATGTTTCTTGTCCCTTGTTTCACTGTTGGCTTCTGTCGGTGTTGTTTTTCGGGCTTTTACATCTGAAATTGACGTTCTAGCAATGCAGAAAGTGAAGTGAGAGCCTGCTTACAACTCGTAGAAAGCGTATGGGATAGCCGGTTTCCAGCAGCTAAGCAACCGACGAGAACCGCTATTCTGGTTTTTGTTTCGACGAGAGGACAGCGAGCACAACGGGCTGCTACTGTTGCTGCTGAGCTTGGCTTTAACGGGTGAGAGACAAACGTTATTCTTTGTGTCACGACTTACTCGTCGGCATTTATAGATGCTGTGTTCTTTCTGGAGGAATCCAGGCGTACATGTCCGATGCCGGAAGTTCCTACATCAATTTTCTGGGAAGGTTTGGATGCTTTCTTGCCGCTTGGTGAGTCATGCAAGACCTCATCTGTGTAGGTGATCCAGGGATGCTGTTGCATTCGTACTGCAGGAGGCGGGATTTAACGCAAAAGAGCAACAGCCAGGCATCCGGCCTCTGTTGATAGACGTTCGCAGATATGACGAGAGGTCCCTCTACGGCCACATTCCTGGCTCTTTACACATTCCAGGTACCAAATTCGTACTCACTGTAATCTTCTAAACAGCTGGAACTTGCAGTGGAAGAATGGCCTAAAGGCTTGGCTATGAGTGCGAGCGATTGGGAGAACAATCATCATTTTCCAAAGATTGAGGAGAACGACGTGGTGATTCTATACAGTGAGTCTCCACTTTAGCTTTACAACTCTTTTTCCTCATCATTTGTCATTCTTGTGCTTAGGCAGGACGTCGAAGCGAGCAATGTGGGTGGCCCAGTTGTGCTCGGATGCTGGCATAACAAGGTAAAATCAATAGAGGAATAGAAAAAGAAGTAGCTTGTCATGCTCTTTCTAGGTGCTATGTGTACAAACAAGGAGTTTCTGGATGGCGTTTGGATCCAACAGTGCTTCCTTATGATCGATACGAACAGGTTCTTACACTTTTCGTTTCGTTTTGGGAAGCTTGCTAAACGTTCTTGGTTATACAGGGAGATGCGCCACCCGAGCCGCTGAGTTTCGAAGTTGAGACTTACAACCGAGACGCTGCTGAGATCGAGCTAAGGCAAAAGGGGTTTATTGTGACGATCCAAACTCCAGCAGGTGATTGATCCTCTCAAGTTCTCATCAACCAAAAGTATATAAAATCTGTGGGAGTAATCGTCGGTATGATTTCTATCCGCTGAGCTCTTTGTGATGCTCACTCAGGTGATAAAGAAGACAAGATATATGACGAGATCATTCATGAGCTCGAGCTGGAAAAAGCACTGCTCAAAGAAATCGATAGCCGAGAATGGCAGTGCAACACTGGCTAAACGAAAACGCTCTTGGGAGTTCTTCGTGGAAATCGTTCTCCAGAGTTTCATGTCTACTCGTTATTCTCCAAGAGATGGAACAAAGAAAAAAAGAAACTCCAAACTCCACCTCCACAAAGCTTACTTCTTCCTGGTGAAAAACTTGTATCCACTGTAGCCCACAACTCCCCATCCAAAGATCACTCCAATCACAATCTAAGAAGAGGAAAGAAAAGAAATGGCTCGATCGACCGATGGAAAGGGGAAATCACGATTTCTTACTTGGTGCTCCTTCCAAGACATGGGGCTGAGCGGCGCCTGGTACCAATTCACTCTGTGCACATCGTCGTGCCCTGGAAAAGCGAACAAATCGCTCGCTCTAGATGTTCTCAAAGATTTTGCCCATACCTCCCGCGGACATCATCCGGCGTGGGACGATCTGGTGAGGCGAGGATGCCGGGCGCGTGAGCTTTGAAGCGATGGAACGAGCTGCCGTCGCCATAGCCGCTTCCTCCCCTCCGTTTCCACTCTACTTTTTTAGGGCTCTACCACAACGAGAGGTTTAGGGTTTTGTTGCTATGGAGCATCGCGCGACGGACGTTGCCGCCTTCTTCCAGCCGGGAGCTACATTTCCTCCGGATCGAAGGATCTTCCTTGCCGCGGCGAGATTGAAGGTAGAGATGGGATTTGCTTCGGAGAATCGATGAGTAGAAATCGATCATTCCAGGTCCTTCGGCAGCGGCAGCGGCTTGTTCTTCTAAGAGCTGCCGCTTTGTATGACAAGTTCGTGGATTTCGCGGTGGATAGCGTCTCTCGGTTCGAGCAGCTCGTGGAGCCGGATGAGATTGTCAAGGTATGGTGGAAAAGTTTGGAGTAGCATTCGGATTTCTCTCTTCTTTTTTTTCCAGAATCATGTAGGGGAAATTCTCGCGGAAGATCGAAGAACTGTCATCAAGAGCCATGCTTACCAGTCGAAAAAAATCCGGATGCTTCGCTCGGCTGTTATTGATGGTGGAGAGGCAATGCAGGTAAGAAGAACAAGGAAGACATAGCTTGTGATCAACTTGGTTCTTTGCAGGTGTTTAACATGGCCATTTTTCCAAGGCCTTGCTTCGATCTGCCTATCTTCTGCGCGGATTTCTTCACTTCGTCGTCTAGGAGCATTTTCGTCTTGTAAGTTCTTGTGGTTTGGAGGTTCTTTCTTTTTCCTCTTTAGGTTCTCTATGTTTCGCGATTGTGTTTTCATTCCATTTTCATTCTAGGCTTTTCCCTCTGCTTCTATAGGGATTTAAATCCGCTGTATAACGTCGAAGCCGACAAAGCTTACAAGGACAAGTACTACAGTGAGCTCCTGCCGTTAGTTAAAAAGCATAGCAAGGTGATTTCACAAGCTTCTAAGATTTTGTCAATGCTTTAACGTGTAGCACCTGGCTGCAGCTGCTTCCATGGGGTGAGAAACTTACTGGGGAATCGTTGCAGTTCTTTTCGCCGATCGTTTTGTGGTCAAAGCCCGAAAGCAACAAGGAAGTTGACGAAGCTATCTATCTGGCGTTTCAAGATTATATCATGGTAAAGCATCATAGAATTGCCAATGGTTTGGGTGTTGAACTGGATCCGACTCGCAGGCGTGGACAAGGATTATAGGTGCTGCCACAAGTGAGACCGATATCGATGCGATTTGTAGGAACAAAGTGGCTCACCACCGTTACTTGACATGGCGTGCTTCGAAGGTATGGAGCTTTTCGGAGATTCGTATCGACCAACACCTGTTTTACAGGATCCTGGACGGCCTGTCTTGAGAAGGCTTCTAGGAGAGGATCGATGCGAGGTACTGTGAATTGTTTCGCTGGGCCAAATAACCTTCGTTTCATGCAGCATTACATCCACGAGTTTCTGTTCAATGGACTGCATGACCTCGGCACCAGTTCCTTCACGGAGTACTTCCCAGAGTACAGGTGCGAGGACGGTACTGTCAACACCGCGCGCAGTATCATTGGGAAGTCTTACTCCGAGCGCCCTTGGAATGATACGGGGACTTTCATTCATCGTTCGGGCTGATAAGAGGTATAGAGATCTATAGGTTCGAGCTACGTGTAGGGATGAACACGAGAGTTGGGAGGCGCTCGAGTACGCATGTCAGCCTAGGTAAGCCGAGGCTGTGCGTGTGCGTTTCTCCAGAAAGCTAACGGACGAGATTTGATTTAGTGCTTAAACCGGGGGGACGAGGAGCGTCAGCACACGTGCTACACCTTTGAGAAAACGTGGTTCAAAGTTTTGAGGTGCGAGTCCTTTTTTTTCGCTGCCACTGCTGACTCGTTCCCGTGTTTCATCTGCAGCTTGTCCGCAAAGTGCTTGTGGGGAGTGATGTGAACGTACACACAATCCTCCTGTGCTGGATCGTGAGTCCGTTAGCTCTCAAGAGTGTGCGAGTATTCAATGGACTGCGTATGCCACCTTGGAGTTCTCTTGCTCCTCCAGGGAAGTACTCATTGGTGAGAAAAATGTCGTCGGAACGCCTCGGGGCCCCTCGATCTGGCGTCGCGGTTTATGCTTAATGGCATGGTGTGATGAACGCAATCACTGACTTTACTTGCAAACCGCTGTGTAGTAATGGCGTCTGTTACGTGTTGTTCCGAGGTTATGAATCTCTCATCAGAATCAGCAGCCTATCATTCCACGGACGACTATGAGCCGGATAGAGAGGTAAGACTTTCATACTTCGTTTGTATTCGAATATCCAGGCTTTTCTGGATCTGATCTTTACTTTTGCGAAGCAGATAAAGCTGGAGGCAGGCCATGAATATGGACAAAGCCGGGTGTCGCTTCTCAACATCATGAGAACGTGTGACTGCTTCATATCGAAAGGAAAGGAAGGAGAAAAATAAGCATTTTTTTTTTCTTCCACCGTCAGCAGGGTGGTGAGTGATGATTACTACGTTGTTGACAAATGGACGCAGTTTGTAATTACAGGCAGCGGAGCAGCGGAGCGCAAGGCAAGGACCGAGGCGGGACAGCGAGAAATGGTAAAAATCCTTGTTCGCTCTTTCTGTTCCCTCCTTTTCTAGCCTGGAAGAGTGAGGAGAGGAAACACTCCTTTGCCTTGCCTGATCTGATTCCTTTGGTGACATTTTGGCAGGTTCCTCACAGATAGCAGCTCTAGCAGGTGCTCGCAGGAAGGTGGCCAGAGAAGCAGTCTATCAATGAAGGAATGGAGAGAGACCTTGGCTGTAAGTGGACCGGGTCTTTGCCTTGACCCCAGCCTCCTCTTCTTGGAAGGCTATGTAGCCGGCCACGAAGTGGAGAGATTGGCAGCCGCAGTAGCAGCAGCACCAGGGAGATTCAGCAGCAGCCTGTGAGTGCCTTAATGTGTATGCATGATTGATTCTTTCCTGGTGGGCTTTTCTTTCGCGCAGTGAGAAAGAGATGGTTGAATCAATGGCTCGGGCTTTTATATACGGACTCAAGGACCCGCTCGCGAGCACCGGATCAGTATAGCAAAAACGTATAGCTTGTCCGCCGGTGACTACCTAGGTGAGTTTATTATTACTTAGTTTCATCGATCAGATCAGTCAAAGCAAAGCGTGGCTGCTTCTTCGATTTAATCACGCACGCTTGCTGTTTGTGTTTGTTGGGCAGGACTGGAAGAGACACGAACTAAACACACTCGGGTCGTGGAAACGTGCCATCGCAAACTCCAATGCAAACAAAACAGTGAGTTTTCTTAGTTTGTCGGCCAGGATTCCTGCTTACTTACGTTTTGTTCCAGCGTTGCCGCCGCTCACTCCATGAATCTACAGCAGAAGGAAAAACTTTGAAATCAACACAAAAAAAAAAAGCTTCTTTTGATGATCGTGAACACGAACCATTGCGCATGATACATAAATGAATTGCCAGAGCTCCATATATGTTTGTTTCTCCTCTATATGACAGAAATCGTATGAGCATTGGCGGTGGAGAAATCACCGCGACCAAACCCCAAAAAAAAATTCGATGCAATCGAAATGCTGACGACGATCATCCCATCCCACGAAAGAAAAATCTCACCTCCACGACGAGGAACAAGAGAGAGGCCAATTCTCCATCCAATCCACCAAGAACACTGTTCTTTCCAAGTAGCAAAAGAGAGAGAGAGAAGAGAGAAGAACCTCTTGGCGGCGATCGCGATCACATTGGCGGCCTGGTAGCTCCAGCGGCAGCGGCGGCCGCCCAAGAAGCCAGCAATTCCGGCGGCGGGATCTGGTGGTGGTGGTGGTGGTGGTGCGCCGCCGCCGCCGCCGCCGCCAGCCCAAATGGATCGTTCATCAGCTGGTGGATCGGGATCGATGGGGGCGACGAATTCCCGTGCTGCGGCAGACCCAACTGGCCGGAAGTGGAATTGGGACTGGGATTTGCCGCCGCCCCCGCCCCCGCGGCTGGCTGTTCTTCCGGAATCTCGCCATCTTGATCGTCCAGTGGCAGGCGATCGAACGCTGGGCCGACGAAGGAGGCGGCGATGACCATCACTGGAGAGGCCGACACCAGAGGACCGGCCACATTTCCACCGAGGACCTGTCCTTGCGGTCCCCCGGCCACGGACACCGCTAGCCCGGAATATGCCCCCAAGATGCCCGCGCTGGGCATTTGCTGCTGGAGGAATGCCCCGGAGAGGGAGATGAGCTCGAAGCGGCCTTGGAAGGAGACCGTGGAGGTGGCGGCGGCGGCGGCGGCGCGGGAGGAGGAGGGAGTGGCGCCGGTGGATGCGGCGGAGGAGGATGGCGGCGAGGAGGGCGGCGCGGAGGCGGCGGAGGAGGCGGGGGAGTGGCGGAGGAGCGTTAGGTTTGAGACGGTGCCACGCGCCGAGAGGACGCACAGCGCGCGCTGGCGCTTGCGGGCGAAGGTGGCGATGGCGTCCACGATGTCGGTGTTGGGCGCGATCTCCAGGACGTGGGGGCGCATCCCGGAGCCCGTGTCGCGCGTGATGATGATGGGCGGCTTGGGCTTGTTCTTGGATCCCGGCGGGCGGCCTCGCGGCTTGCGGACGGGGGCGACCACCTCGCCGCCGGATCCAGCACCGCCACCGCCGCCACCTCCGCCACCTCCGCCGGGAGATTTCTGGGCTTGCGGGCTTTGCTGGTGCTGAGGCTGCTGCTGCTGCTGCTGCTGTTGCTGGTGGTGGTGGTGAATCTGGTGGTGGAGGTGGTGGTGGTGTGGATGTTCTAGCTCCTTGTTCCCACTGCTGCTGTTATCTTCGTCCTCGGAGTGCTGGTGTGGAGGAATTTCTTGCTGCTGCTGCTGCTGCTGTTGCTGGTGCTGGTGGTGGAGCTCGAGCATCTGCTGGAATGGAAATGCCGCTGGAAACCTGGACGGATTCATCCTCTTTCTTTCCCTCACTCCTCGATCGATATGTCTATCTCTCACTCTCTCTCTCGATGATGGTGATGGTCGATGAAACCCAAGAGAAAGAACCACCCAAAGATCTCTCCTTTGTTTTGCTTACCACCCAGAATTCTTGATCATCCCGGCCGGATCATCCAGCGATTCTTTCTCTCGCTCTCTTCTCCTCCTGGCTGCGCCAAAGTTTATAAAATTCTCTATGCTACTATATACCACTGTTCAAACTAAGCTCCTCGTGGAAGATCTTGGAAGCTTCCACTGGTGGGACGATGCCCAAGAGAGAAAGAGAAGGACGAGCGCCGGCCATGGACTGGATGAAGGAGGAGAAGTTCTTATAGCGAGAAAGAAGAGAGGAGAAGAAGAACTTAGAAGAACCAAGAACGAAGTAGCAGTAAGTGAAGTGATCCGCGCGATCGATCGATGTCAATGCTGTGAGTGAGTACCAAGTGACCGCAGCATGACACAAGAATGCCCCACGGTCGCAGCGATGAATTTGGGCCTGGACAAAGCGCTGCTCGCTCTCACTGCTGCTACACTCACTGCTGCTACTGAGGAGGAGGAAAAAAAGAGAGAGAGAAAAAAAGAAAGAAAGAGAAGAACTTATGTCTGTCTAGCTATGAGCGAATGATCTTCTCCTCCCTTCCAGTTCTCCCTTGCTACAAGTTACCGCTATAGGTACTATCCAGGCTATGGAAATCTATCATCCTCTATCCATGGACTTATAATCACCATCTCCATTTCCCAAGGCAGCGTACTGCGATCATCGATCATCGCTATCATGATCCACAGGGCGAGGACGAGCAGCTCCTCCTGGATCCATCTCCATTTGCTGCAAACAGCACCACCATCGCTAAGCTCAGCTCCCTCTCTCTTCGATGGATCGATCCAGCAAAACTCTAGCTCCTGTTCATGAATCCGTGAGGGTGCAAGGAGGACGAATTCATCTCAAGAAGAAGAAGAAGAAGAAGAAGAAGAATCTGTGGAAACCCATGAACAGTTTCTAAGCTGCAAGACGATCCATTTCCAACTCTAGCTTGTGATCTTTCTAGCAAAAAAAAAAGGAGAAAAACCTCTCTAAGTTGTGAGTAAAAGAACCTCTCTTCCTGTTCGTCTCCAAGAATCCTAGAAACAGTGATGGGAAGAAAAACAATGCCCAAGTTTTCCTCATTGTCGCCATTGATTACTGTTAAGTAATGGCGTCTTTGTGACCGGATTAATTAGCAAGCGTGAAGCTTGTCGGTACTCGTTGGTCCAAAAAATGGCAGTGGTGGGATTCTAACGTCTGCTCCTGCCCCCTGTCACCGCCTGCGCTCTGGCCGCATTCCTTGGGACTAAGCACGCTTATGGTGACAGCAAATGCCCTTCTTGGGCATCTTGATAGAGATCGATTACCTCAAAGATTTGGGGACTAATCACTTGGGCTGTGCGCCTTTCTTTCGCGTGAAATCGTCGACAAGCTCCGTCTGCATCACCTTGATACCAACACATGTTGGTGTTTTGCTCATTCCTTGGTTGTTTTGTCTTGTTTGGGTTCCTTTCTTTGGCTTTTGATTGAGATTTGATTTTTATACGTGGTCAAAGTGAAAGGCTTACTTTGTGTAGGACATAATCGTCCAGGACCAGAGTGTGGAGGTGAGGTAGATTGATATCTAAGTCCCAACGGAGGGCGAATGGGTCGATTATGATCGATCGATCGACAAGCTGTCGGCTTGGAGTCGATCGAATGGAGAGAAAAAAGGACAAGGAAAAATGGGGGAGAAAACGCGGCTGCTTTTACTTTTAGCCTGCACAGCCACCCAGCAACCCAACCGCCAAAGTTATGGTACGAGATTGGACACCAATCGCGAAGAATTCCGCGAGCATCAATCTTTCCTCTCGCTCGCTCGCTGCGATTTCAAATCAAGTGTTTGAACGATTTTTGATTCCTCTTTCTGACAAAAGCAAGAACAAATCCGTGACACCGCCGCTAAAGACAAAGAGAAACCGCTTTATCCATCCACAGATGCCTGAACCTGGCAAATGCAAACTCCAGTACTGTTTCTCCATCCAAAACCTTACAAAACAAGGACTAGATTTGCAAGCCCTGCTCTCACAGGCGCGCCCAGTCTGCCGTGCTCGGAATCCGCTTTGTTGCACGCAAATCTTCAACAAGCAGCATTTGCCGTGCTGCGGTATTTGCTGGGAATCCGACGGTCGCGATGGTTTCGCCTTGTGGGCTGTGCCGGGTGCGATTATACGCAGAAGCCCACGTGCAGTAACGCTCGAAGCCATGCCCTGATGCTTTTTTCAAGGCTGTTTGCTACCCCGGCTGTCATGCACACACCCGTGTGTGGGCGTGGGCGAATGAATCCCTTCCTTGAGCCGCTCAGAAATCACGAATCCGGAATTCGAGAGAGAGGGGGGGAGCAAAAATAAGCCCTGGTGCTGCTGCTGCTGCCTCACTGCGCAAGCCCGACGAACAATGCAAAGCAGCGTTTTGTTGTTCGCGAAAGAAAGGAGACGAGTAAAAGAAAGATGGATTGTGAGAGAGAGAGAGGACAGGGACCTTGGAGCACGACTCTCGCTTGATTCCTGAGCGGAGTCAAGTACTCGGCCCGCGTACTGGCAGGCATTTGCATTGAGAAGCGTGAACACTCATGGAGTTTGCTCACAATGGATGGAAATGGGGAACTTGGCATCTTCCCGGCCACGAAGAAGATTACCGCGAATATCCTGTCTTGTTCCTGAAATCTTCTACATGGTCGCAGGAAAATCGCGACTTTGTATCCCCGCAGTCGCAGGGGCCATAAATACCGGGGCAGACGAACAAGTCTCCACCGTCGTCACCCTTGGAATCCCAACGTTGGGCAATTACAATTAAATACAGGTCTTCTCGTGAGAGATTTCGCAGATCGTCCAAAAACCCAGAAGAAGCTTTGGTGCTAGCTTCGCGGCTTCTCTTTCCCGTCGTACGTACTTGGTACGAATGAAAAATACCGAATCTAGAAACACCCACTCCAGCTGCCAGGAGCCCTAATTGGTCGAGACGATACGATCCATGCGGTGGTGGCGTCTCATTATGAACTTCACGAACTCTCCCTGTACGAAAACAGTCCCGCGAGACGTACCGTACGCTCGTGAAAGGCCAAAGTACGATCATGTGCGCGTATATCCCCTGGAATATTAGGGCTCGTACGGTTTCGACGCAACTTGTCTGGGGTTGAACGTGAAATGCGTCACTTTCGGCGCTCCACCACCGCCCGAAATTTCCCAGAGAGTTTTTTCTTCGGAAAGTCTGCTGTTCTTGACCGAGATTTCGTTGTCGAGCATCACATGAGAGGATCTAGCTAGGCAGGCTGCTGCAACATATACAACCTTGTTTTGCCACCTTTTTTGCGCTGGAGCCCCTGCTTATAAAAGTTGGCGGACAACTTAGCTGGCTTTTTTCTAGGATTGACACATGACACTGAAATTCCTCCCGCATCGCCAAGTTGTGCCGATCCAATCCCACTCGATTGTCGCTCTACAGTATGCGTACGTATGAGAATACAACTTGGCTGACCCCAACAGACGTGCCCAGCCTTTACGCTACTGAGAAAAAGAGAGAGGTGTGATACAAACATCGCGAATTTGGTATCAAAGCATCACATTTTCTAGCTCCATGTGGAAGTGCTGATGTTTGCAATCTTTGCAACGTCAACTCAGGCGAGTGTGACAATGGATCCACAAGAAAAAAAAAAAATAAGGAAAAAAATGGAGGTTTTAGGACGTTTTAAAGCAGCTGAGCAGCAAATGCCCACGCCAGGCATTTGCAGTGCTCAGTACGAAGAAGATCAGGACGAAACAAAAGCGGGACAAAACTTCTTTACGCCAAGTACAAAGAAAGATATCATCCTGGGACGAGTTTTCTAAGCTTTTATCTTTGCTTCTTTACCGTCCCGGATTTTGATTTCTCTGGAGAAGATTTTAAAGGAGAGCTTTTCACTCGGTATTTTATATTGAGTGGGATCTTCACAAAAAGCTGCAGGATATAAAAATCTCTCGCAAAGAGATATGATTTCTTCTACGCACGCAAAGGAAAGAGCACGGCCTCCCTTAGGAAGCTGTTCATCTGGATTGCGTCCTTGAACTCGTCAAAGCTTACCCGACCATCGCTGTTAGCATCCATTCGATCAAACATCTCGTCCAGCTTCCCTGGCTCGGTGATGTCTCCCGGCAAGCATTCTTCCGGAAGAGCCTGGAAAAGATAGAAGCGAGAAAGGTTTAAAGAGCTCTAAGTTGTGCTTACTCTCAACATCGATGCCAGTTCGTCTTTGGAAATGTAGCCAGAGCCGTCCGAGTCATACATCTAAAGAGTTTGAGAGAATTTCTAGTGTCGCTCGGAAAGAAAAAAAGGAAGAACGAAAGAAATCTTACTTGAAAGCAGAGTTTGAGAGCTTCGTCCCCGTGAGACTGCTTGAGTGACGTGAAGCCGCAGACGATCTCACGCATGTCGACCGCGCCGTCCCTGTTGTGATCGAACAGGTCGAAAATGCGAGGTGCCAGAGGAAGCAAGGACCTCATCTTCATTGCCTCCAGAACCGCTTCGAATTCACCCAGTGCGACGTCCACGCCGTTTGTGGAGCTGTCAAGCAGTCATATCAGTAGAGTAATTACCAGCGCTCCAGGATGAGTCTATCTTACAGCTTTTTGAAGTGGCTGACGAGATCCTGGAGCTCGTCGCCGCTGAGAGACCGTGAACCGACCAGGCTCTTCAAGTTCTTGGTAAGGTGTAAGAACTTGTTGCTGACGATGCTAGCAAAAGCTGCTGCTCGAAACTTTCGACGAGCATTGAAGAAGTGTAGCTGGCGTATGACTTCTTCGGGTAGACGGTCTTGCTTTGCAATGTCTCCTCGCACCCATGGATCTGAAACCAGCTGCACAAACACTTTTCGATTCTCAGCAGGAAGAGGCTCAAACGAGAGACAAAGGCAGGATATAAAGCATTACCGCCTTGGCTGACGGCCTTCGATGCGGATCGACAGCCAGTAAGTCACGTATGAGCTGCTTGGCATGGCTGGAAATAGTTTTCCAAGTGTACTCTTCAAAATTCACATCACCCTGGAAGGAAGAAAGCTTAGATTTATTAGCAAAGGCAGTCAATGCCTACCGCAAGAATGAGGTCCAGCTTCTCTTTGTTACTTGTTCCATGAAATGGTGGATACCTGGTTAACCCAAAGAAAGAAGATAACACGATTAAACAAGGTTGAAGAAAAATGAAAGTTTGCATGGTTACCCGCACAGAAGGATGTAGAGAATCACCCCCAAGGACCACATATCACTCGCAGGAAGCACGTCTCGATGCGATAAAGTCTCTGGAGCAACGTAGTCAACTGATCCAAACATTCCAACGATCGGACTCGTTGCTCCATCAATCTGGCTCAAACCAAAGTCCATGATCTTAAGATGGTTATCCTCTTCCGGGGTCAGGAAGAGGCAATTCTCCGGCTTGAGGTCCCTGTGGACTATCCCAGCATCATGAAGGCTACACAATCCAGTTGCGAGCTCCTTGACAACTTTAGCCGCCTGAGCTTCCGAGTACTTCTCTTGAGCAACTATCCTGTCAAACAGCTCCCCTCCGGAGCAAAGCTCCAGCACCAAATGCACGCCTGCTTCGTCCTCGTAAACGTCGTGTAAGTGGACGATGTTTGGATGCGGTGACACATTCTCCACTATCCTTTGCATTACTATGATCTCATTCGCGACCAGTGCCTCGGAAATTAAGCTGTCCTGCGTTGGCCCTGCCGTGCTCTTCCTGCCTCTAGAACCCCTGCCTCGCTTAGTAGCCCCTGCCAAAGGCCTTCCACCATTCTTCTTGTCACCATAGCCAAAGCCTTGCTTCCTCAAAGTCTTTATGGCAACTTCAGTACCATTTTCCTTGTGAACTCCCTTCCTCACCACCGAGAATCCTCCATACCCCAAAACTGGACCAATTATGTAGTCATCCTGGAGCCTGTGCCTGCCGTTGCTATCCTGTAAACTCATCCTCGGAAAAATCTGATACCAGAGTTACTTGTTCCACTGCCACCAATTATCCAGTTTCCCTTCTCGTCCTCCGCGTCTCCTCCTTTTCTTCTTCCACCCGGATGGATGAAATCTTGCTTACTAATCCCTGTAGATGTTTGTCAAAAGCTCACCTGGAATTCTTTGCCTTCCCTTCTTTGAAACTGGTGGAACGAAAGAAGAAAAAACGCTTTTTTTTCGCACTCCAAGCATCGTTTCTTCCGAAGGAGACGAGGCAATGACATAACCCTCTCGAACGGCACAGCAGATTCAACGCTTCTACACCAACAGGGAAACAAAAAAACGTATTTTGCTTTGCTTTGGGTGGGAATAAACGCGCTTACTTGTCGTTTCCTCTTAGTTCTTAGTCGCGACTCCTGTTCATCCCCATAGACTGGCCAATTTGATCCGCGCGACCGACCGACCTGCGCCATGGACTGGAATTCGAGATTCCTCTTCCGCGACTTACCGCAGGGGACTCCATCTGGTGGAATGCCGGCCGGCAGCGCGACGACCATCGCCATCGCCCTACAAACCCCAAGCCCTAATTCCCGCGCTTTCTAGAATTTAAATTTAAATTGGACCCCTTTTAACTTCACCATCACAAACATAGAAGTGGAAAGCTTAGAAAACGAACATCCAGCCATGGATTGTGTCCAAATCTTTGGAGAGACGCTCCTTTCATAGAGCGGCATAAATAAAAAAATGGAGGAAAGCCACAGCTGGATGGAATTCACACTCGTCCTTCTTGCCAATGATGCGAGCTCATAGTGGGCTGCGATTGTTGGATCCAAGGATTGTGGCCACCACTAGACAATTTTTTAAAGCTTCAAGGAAGTACTTTTTTTCGTTCTCTGTCCTGGAACACACCTTTCCAACAAGTTTCTTCTCGCTTTTGGGATTGATTCCTTGAAAGCTTTCGCCAGATCCAACCAACAAAAGGAGGAGGGGATGGATTCTCCTCTGGGAGATGCGAACACCACCTTGATCTTGCTCGCGCTCGTGTTCTTGAGCTCCATTGTCGCGGACGTGAGTTGTAGCAGCGATGATCCGTCGCTGAGCGCTTTCTTCTACGATTATACGTGCCCCCAGCTCCAGGACATCGTTCGATCGGACGTGGAGAAGGCTTTCAAGCGCGAGGCACGGATCGCGGCGTCGCTCCTCCGCCTCCATTTCCACGACTGCTTCATCAATGTGAGTAAGCAATCCAAAACTCTGAAAGCTTTAAGTAGTACCTTAGTGTTCTCCCAAGTTTCTCGGGCGAAAGAGAAGAAAAAAAAACGATTTTTTTCCGCAGGGATGCGATGCCTCGGTGCTGCTGGACGACACCAAGACCTTCAAAGGCGAGAAATCTGCGCTGCCCAACGCGAACTCTCTCCGTGGATTCGAACTCATCGACGCGATCAAGGCCAGAGTGGAGATCCAGTGCGAAGGAGTCGTCTCCTGTGCTGATATCTTGACGCTCGCTGCTCGAGACTCAGTCGCACTGGTACGTAGCAGCAAAAAAATCCCTCCTTTCTGATCGATCGATCGGTCCAACTCTTATCAGACCGGAGGACCATCGTGGGAAGTGCTGCTCGGGCGGAGGGACAGCCTCACTGCCAACAGAACCGCGGCCAACGTTCTCATCCCACCCCCTATAGCCGACGTTCCAAAGCTCGTCTCAATGTTCGCCACAATGGGGCTCACCGAGGTAGACATGGTAACACTTTCAGGTACGTAATCCAATCCCCACCGTCCATCGGCCCGCCCATTCTGACCCGGAATGTCCACTGTTCTTGGCGCCAAGGCGCCCACAGCATCGGCCAGGCGCGATGCTCCACCTTCCGCCAGCGATTATTCGACGATCGCGGCAGCGGCAGCCCCGATCCGACCATGCAGAAGCAGTTCCTGGGCTCGCTGCAAGAGATTTGCCCCCGGCAGGGCAACGGCAACGCGGTGGCGCCGCTGGATTTCGTGACGCCCATGCGATTTGACAACAATTACTACCTCAATCTCCAGTATGGCAAGGGGATCTTCGCGTCGGACCAGGTGCTCTTCAGCGGGCGCGGGATCACGGAGAACTACGTGCGCTACTACAGCTACGATCAAGACGCATTCTTCCAGAGCTTCGTGCGATCCATGATAAAAATGGGCAACATCACGCCGCTCACAGGGAAGAGAGGCCAGATTCGAAAGAACTGCCGAAGACCTAATTAGGGCAAATCGACGATTCCAACTGACCTAAGGGCTTAGGGCAAAACATAAATTAAAAAAAAGCAATCTATGCACTGCCCGGGAATCGAACCCGGGTCTGTTCCGTGGCAGGGAACTATTCTACCACTAGACCAGCAGTGCAGCGCTGATAGCACTAGCCTTTTTTCCATCAAATCTTACGTCAAGTTCTACTATCCAATGGTAGAAGCACATGGCAAGCCTTGATATTTTTTTCCTCTTGTCATAGTAATCAAGGGATCCTTTCTAGCTTTATAAGATTGTGATTGCAGAACTTGGCAACATTCTCCATTGTTTATCTCCAATTCTACAATAGCAATTCTCAAATGTATGATATAGAGGAAGTTTACTCAAGAAACTGGAAGAATATAGAGCGGGAATCTTTATAGAGCTAGTTACTAGATAGCCTGGTAGGCATAGCCAAGTTCCTGGAATAATACCAAGGGAGAGTCTAAACAAACCATGAAAGGAGACGATCCAAATGACCCCTTCGATTTGTTTGTCAAATACTACAAGCATTTGCATGTGCTGGTACTTTCTTTCCTATCATTGTTTTGAGCAAGTGGTTTTGTTTCTTCGTGCGAGGTGAATGAAATGAATGAATGTGTGAAAGCTCTATAACTTTGGAGATTGATATTTGGATGGAGTGATAGACCAACAACCGGATGCTACTCGAAAACTTTGATATCTCTGAAACAACATCGCTGTCCGGGGATCTCTCTATTTCTTGGGAGATCTCCGATCAGAATAGTGTGGATCATCTCAGGTCTCCTCCTTGAGTCCCTTCCTTTCCACCTCTAAACTGTCCCAGCCATATGCTCAATGATTGACCCATGAATTGTTTATGATCGCGGGCACGAGTGAGATCCCTGGCAACCAACAACAAACACCAGAAAACGAGCGAGCTTTGGAGTTCAACGAACGATCCTTGATGAAACCCATGCTCATATGCTTAAGCAACCCAGATTCCCGTGGACAAAGCTTCCCAGGACTAAAGAATTCGAGCTCTGTGTTTGGTGATCGTCCACATTCATCGAGCTTCCATCATCCTATTAGTTTATCATATTATGGCCAAAACACATCATTTACTTAACCCAAATGAGCTGGTTTAGGACAAAACAAAGCGACGCGGACTTGTTTGCTTGGATTGTCGTGTCAATGGAAGTGTCACGGTTGAATTTGTCCCTGCGTTGTGCTTGGAGAGGAGTGAAAGAAAGAATGCGTTTTCTTTGCGGAAACGCAGCCGGGGTGATTATTCTAGGGCCATAATGTTTGTGGTTGTTCTTGCAAACTCTACTGTTTAGCTGATCACGCTTTGATGGGACGAAAGCAAAAGGACTGACTCGAATCATGCTGTGTGTTTGCTCCCTTGTTGTTAGTTCGTGTTGATCCATCGTGCGGATTAAAAATTGGCATCTGGTTGATTCCTTGGAGCAAACTTTAGCTAAGTTTTTCTGGGTGGGATTACGACACCCCTGGATGGATCATCCCTGTAGAAACATAGGTAGAGCTCTAGCTAGCTAACTTTTTTAGCTCTAATCTTTCCTGCATGCTTGTATTCGTTGATAATTTAGCGATTAATTAGTACATTATGCATTACGCATGGCAAAGGTGGTGAAATTCACGTGAATGTCCAGGAAGCTGTTCAAGTCAAACTGTAAGTTCCCGGGGGGAACGCCTTAGAAGGAATATTTGCCTGGGAAGCAACTCAAGCTCGCAAACCAGGAAAGTCCTCTTTCTTGTCTCGTGAAGTCAAACAATTGGTTGCTTCCAACTGGGATCACGACTCCCCCAAGAACTTGTCCGTGACCCCTATCTTAGCTCCGCCACCCCGCTTTGAATCCATCCAATCCAACCCAATTGAACAAAAAAGAAGTTCCACAGAAGAACGGAGGAATCGGAGATCCGCCAACGAGTCGTTGCATGGGAGATTATTCGGGAATCATTTACGGGGGGTTAGGGTTTAAGCAAGAGCCCTAAAAATTCGTGGGCTATGGCGGCAAGGACGACGGTGGAATCCGTGGGCGGGCCAGCGGTGCCAATGCTTGGCCCTCTTTTCCGGTATGTATTTATCGGCGCTCTTCACTCTAGCTAGCGTTTTAAACTCATTCCCGAGCGAGTACTGGAACTGTTAGTGGAGGGATTTTTCCCCCCCTTTTTTTTTTCTTTGCCCATCTGGGGGAGAAGTTTGGCGGCTTGCGTTGTTGCGTGGTCCTTTTTAGCTTTTCATCCGGCCCATGCCATTCATTCAAGCGTTGGAAGAGATGAAAATGGAGAGAATTCTTCCCTCTCTCTCGCATTTTTTATGCATTCTTTTCTCATTTTTTTGCTTTTGTTTTGTTTTGTTTTCGTTTATTTTTTGAGAGAGAGAGAGCGCTTTGGTGGTGGTCGTATCTTCTGTGAGCGAGTGATCCTTTGGCAAAGTTTTTCTGAGATTCTCTGCGAATTTTCCTTTTCTTGTTTGTTTCCATCTCCTTGGGATCACTTCCTCCGGCATTATCGGTTTTTGCAAACACTCGCTTTCCCCCTTGGCCAGCCGGCAACAGTGTGCTTTAAGTTCTAACTCGCGTGTCCTTGGGTACTGTAAGAGACAAGCGCAGCGCCTCTATCCCTGCCAAAGAAAAAGAGAGGGAAAAAAAAAATGGAGAGAGAGAGAGAGAAGAGAACACTACTCTGCAAGCAAGCGATCGCTCGCTGCTGACCACCCCTGGATTGAATTCTTTGTGGTCCTTTCAGTGACTCATCGAGCTGTGCAACTCTGTCTGCCATAGCCAGTGTGTGTTTTTAAAGGTTTTTTTTTTCCTCTTCCTGGCTGTGAAAGGGAGTGTTTTTTTTTTTTCCCCCTCTCCTCGTTCTTTCGTCTTCACCACGGGCATTATAGGTGTACGCAGCTTCTGGTCATTTCCGGCTCCTCCGCGGCATTAGAATACGCAAGAGAGATAAAAAGTATAAGGAGGAGGTCCCCTTCTTAATGCTTTGCGGGTTTCAGTCACGCAATTGGAAGCTAGAGTTGCCGCCTCGTTGCTTCCTTGCTTCCTGTTCGTTTGGTTCGTTCGTCCCCCCAGGCATTGATCTTTCTCTTTATCCTTTGTTTTCTTTTCTTCTTCTCTGTGCCATTGCATTCCTCCCGGCATAGCTTTTGCTAACTCAACGCGTATGTCTGTCGATTCAGTCGGTCTGATCTAGTTGTTATAAGATCCTTGCGAGTTGTTCTGCACTCATTTTCATCCCAGGGAAACGTGTTGGTGTTTCGAGCCGCTGCTGCCGCGGCTGCTGCTGCTGTACTCTTGCTCGTGCGTCTATAGCTTGTGTTACGCTGTTCCAGTCCACCTTTGAGTTTTTTTCTTTCTTTTTTGATCCTGTTTTTTTTTTCTCTTTTTTATAACTTAAGCTTAGTGTATAGTATAGTATTGCATCTGCACATCACTGCACTGGTGCTCTCTTTTTCCTCCATTGCTTTTGTTCAGGGCTGTGCCTGTGCTTCTTTTCGTGTACTTGGGGAACTGCCAGATACGCAAAAACAGCCTTCCTTTTGCTCTCTCTGCTGCTGCTGCCCAGGAGCAGCACAGGTGCATTGTTCGCTCCATCAGGTTTTTCCTCTCCTCCTCTTGCCCTTTGCTAAGTATGCTGGTGTGTTTAGGAGGGAGTGGGCCCTTTGTGCTGCTATGCTTCCATTGTTGGGCTTCTTGTTTTCTTGCCAGGTGATTCCAACTCACTGTTTCTCTTTGTACTGGCTGGCTAGACTCTTGATTTATGAGCGGCTCTAGACTCTCCTTCTTTTCTCACTCGCAACTGCTCGACCAGGCTCGGGTGCTCTTTTGCGACATTTCTTCAAGCCTCTCTTTATCCTTTGCAGCTTTCTCCTGCTGCCCGTGTCAAAATTTCAATCAAACGACCCTGCTTTCGCTCTATACCTCTCGCTTCGCTGCCCCTCTGTGTTAGATTACACAATTGCTCCAAGTTATCCAGTTGAGCGTTATTGTTGTCTCTTGGAATGATGGTAGAATGGTTTTTGAGGACTGAAGTAAGTGGTTGTTTTGGGCTATTGCGATGTGTGTGCGTAAGAGTCATCTTGCATTGCTTGCCGCGACAAAAAGAACGATTTTGATGCTGAATTGTGCTTGTTTCTGTGACAGAATCGAGCAGGAGATATCACACCATGGCTCGTGCTCGTTCTTCCGGCCTTCCAATCACTGGATGTCATCGTTATCTCCTAAGCTAGCTACTGAAGGCCTACATTCCGAGAATTCTATCGATTACAACGCGTGCGTGATACATGGCTGCTGTACCACACGTATCGTCTGCCGAGTCCCTATTCCATGAGGGCATGGACGTCTCGCATCCTCAAGCGCTGCCTCGAGTCGTCACCACCGCTCAGCAGCACGGCTTCTCCACGCCTATGTCCCTTGATTTCCACGACAAGTTTACTTTGGAGAGATCACTTCCAAGCTACGCCTCGTCGAGCTTTCAGCTGGTCGGACAGTCTTCCTCTTCTTGGGAGCCGCAGCAGCAGAATGCCGACACACACTTCTTCACGTCCAGCGGCAATGCAGCAGCACAGGTGTTGAGTATACACTCCTCGCATCATCTCACCGGAGGAGAACAGCATGAAATTCTCGTCGACTGGCAGCAAATGGGAGATTTTGCGTCGTCCCTTGGGAGTGGAGGCTCTGGTTTAACTCCCTCGAGCACTACTACGACTGCTACTACAGCTCAAGGAGCGGCATTGTCCGATGGAACCATGGTGGAGCTAATTGGACGGATAGGGGGGTGTCTCTCCACCAGTGCGAGCACAAACTCTTCAATGAGATCGAGTCCTCATCTCCTGGCGTCCGAGGCGAAAAGTGGATGGAATTCTCCAGTGGAGGCGGCAAGTCAGCATCACGGGACTCATGGTTTCATTTCGTTTGGGAACGGTAACGCCGCCGCTGCTGCTACTGCTTCTCACTTAAGTCAAGCCGTCTTTGCGTTGGTTGACGAGAACAAAGATCACATCAGATCTGGTGTTGCGATCCCACTTTGCCAGGCTGATGCAAGTAAGTTGCCAGTTGTTGAGACGAAAGTTGAGGCATCTGTGGATGACACGAGTGGGGCCAAGAGCGCGCAAGAAACAAGTAAGCGATTGCAATTGGCCGAGTTCGTTCCGTGTCTCAAAAATCTGGTTTTTTCTTTTCCTTTTTCCCGCAGGCCAGGCGTCGATTGTCAAGGAATCCACCGGAAGGAAGCGGAGGACATTGTCCGAGGACAAGCTCAAAGACGGTTCTTCGTGTGTGACCAGCAGCGGTGTCAAGGTCCGTGATTCTCTTAACAAGAATTCGCGGCTTTTCTTTCCTTTTCTTTTTCTCTCAACTAAGCGTCGTTCTTGTGTCTCGACAGGATGGAGAGCAAGTTAAAGGGAAGCGACAGAGGAATCCAAACGCGAAGGAAGAGTCAAAACAGCATGGTAATGGTAAAGCCGATCGAAGCAGCAGTGACAACTCTGGAAGCACAAGCCCCAAGTCAGTCAAGGAGAACACAAAACCACCCGAGCCTCCCAAGGACTACATTCATGTGAGAGCTCGAAGGGGACAAGCAACCGATAGTCATAGCCTCGCTGAAAGGGTAAGCTACCTGTGAACTTTAATTGCGAGAGTTCGTGCATTTCTCTATTTCAATCGCACTTAAAATTCCCATTCCTTCTGTACCAGGTTCGAAGGGAGAAAATCAGCGAGCGTATGAAGTTCTTGCAGGATCTAGTACCCGGATGTAACAAAGTAAGTTTCAATGCATTTGCCAGGGGCTTCGATGATGGCTGATGAGAATTCTCTCTCCCTGCTGTAGGTTACTGGAAAAGCCGTGATGCTTGATGAAATCATTAACTACGTCCAGTCGCTCCAGCGTCAAGTTGAGGTACAGCTCGTCGAAGTGTTGATTCTCAATGTATTTACGCGAGTTTTCTTTAAACCAGTTCCTGTCAATGAAGCTGGCAGCCGTGAACCCCCGCCTGGAGTTCAACGTCGAAAGTCTACTAGGAAAAGAGGTCCGTACGCTGCTAAAAATCCTTTTTTTTTCTGTGTCCTTGTTTTAGTTCTTCTTGAGGCTAAGTCTAGATTTGTTCTCCTCGGCTTAGGTGCCGCATGGACGGGCCTCTCCAACAAATTTTGTCCTGGGGCCCCAAAGCTATTCGCAGCAGCTGCATCAAGCACAACACAGTGCCTTGCAACTTGCCGGTTTCGACTTGAGAACACTGACCGGTTTACAAGAAGCTGCTATGCGAAGAGGAGCTTTCCCGTGCCTCGATCCATACAGTGATCCCGCCTCACAGGTACCAAAGAATAAAAGCAAAAGCGTAGTAGAAGCTTTGAAAGTTCTAAACTTTTCCTCACTTTTTTGGCTTGTAGACATCAAGTGTTTGGGATGGGGAGCTACAGAACATCGTTCACATGATGGGCTTTGTGGAGAATGGTCAGTGAAAGAGTTTATAGTCTCAGCCTCTCTAAAGTTTAAACTCCTTTGATTTTTTGCCAGGTCCTTGAAGATTATTTCTTGCAATTGTTTTGTTCGTACCGCTGCTAACCAGACTAGAGAAGAGAAGATTACTCACAACACCAGCGAGGAAGGGAGGTATTTTATGTATCTACTTGCGACAATAAGCTCAGCGCTATACATAAGAATTTGGACAAGCCGAGTGCTGCGACCGGGATGGATCAACGCGAATTGCCTCAAAGGAGAAGAAAAGTTGAGCCATTTCGGTGCCAGTGTACACTTGAAACTACATAGCTTCTTTGTTGCGGCCTGGCGTCCTTGTATTATATTATATATATATGATTAAAATATTAATGTATTTATATGTGCGTGCTTAAGTTGATCAAAGACTTTGTGATTTGGACATGACTTTGTTTGCGGAAAAAACACCGAAAAAGTATAGAAACATGACATGGAAGTCATGATGTTATATTCCTCACGATGTTAAGTTTGTATGTTTGAATTATAGATTTTCTTCCATTGCATGCCCAAAGTCGTGATTCTTTCCAGTGTGGATCGCATTTCTAGTTATAGCCAGTCAAGGAATTTCCGCGCGCTCGTGATTTCCAAGTACCAAGCGCGAGCTTTGGTACTTGGAAGAATTTTGGTCTCTCTTTGGCTTCTCGAAGAGGTGTGTGTGGTTGGATTCACGCTCGAAACAGTCCCGAAGATCACGGAAGAAAGAAGTACTCCAACCAAAAACATCGCAAAGTCCACAAGCTTCCAAGATTGACTAGGAGAAGTGGATCGACGTTTCTACACTGAGATTCTTGCATTGCATGCCCCCCACGTCCAAAAGTGATATCTTTTTTGTTGAGAGTGGGATTCGAACCCACGCCCTTGCGGACCAGAACCTTAATCTGGCGCCTTAGACCAGCTCGGCCATCTCAACTTAACGCTATAGTTAATGAATCGTCCACGTGTCTGAGACACTTGTCAAGTTCTTAGAGACTTAAGGGTTCTTGCCAGCGAGGGAATGGAGACTGCTGGGCGGCATTTGGCGCAGCGCCTGGCGGAGATCGGCGTGACCGATCTCTGGATTTTAATCTGCTGCTGCTCGACGAGCTCATCGCCGAGCTGCGTCGTGGGCTGCTGCAACGAGCTGCGTGGGAGCTTGCGCGGCTTATCGTCATCAACGCCATCGCGGGCTCCTACAGCGAGAATTTGCCGGTGATTTGCATCGTTGGAGGCCCCAATTCGAATGAGTATGGGAGCAATCGAGTTGTTCATCACACGACTGGAGTCGCGGATTTTACTCAGGAGCTCGCATGCTTCAAGCAAGACCTGTGCTCAGGTAACAAAATTTCTTTCTTTCTTTCCATTCGTTTCTTTTTTACTCCTTTCTCTGTGATTTCATCACATTGAAAACTTGGTTTTCTTGGAGCATGGAATCTCTCATCAATGGTTTTGATGGTTTATGCGTGGAAGATTTTTGTCCTGCAGTACTTTGTTCTTGTTCTTTTGTGCTTGTTTGGAAATCGTCGTGCTCTTCCTCGCTGACACAACACACACAAGCATTGTTTTCATAGCTTTATGGGAACCAAGACAAAGCCTTTATAGGAACTTGGCTGATTTCTCCATGTATTTTTCTTTCACAGGTGGTTGTCAAGGACCTGGAGGATGCTCACGAGTTGATCGACTGCGCCATATTTACGTGCCTCTGGCGGAAGTTGGCGGCAAGGAGAACTCTGGTGCAAAGCTCCGAGTTAATGTGCTCTTCCAGGTCTAGACTCTCTCGTCGAGGTTTCAACATTTCATTTTCTGAAATTCCTTCTTTCTTTTCTACAGGGCATGCTGTCAAAGGATACGGGTGATTCTCGGTTTAATTGTCAAAAGCTGAAACTTCCGGATGGTTGCGGGTAGGCCGAGGCGAATGCCCTTCAATGCACCGCCAGAAGATTCTGAAGGTTGTCTTGGGTGCATTCAATCGATTTGGTAATAGATGACTTGCATTGACCCCTCCTCACTTGCTGGATCTACAAACCCTAGAACGACACTAACATTCATTTTTTCCCCTTTGCACATATATGATATGGGCATGCTTAAGTTGATCAAAGACTTTGTGATTTGGATAACTTTGCCTGTGAAAAAACAGAACGTTTGAAATATAGATTTTTCTTCTTTGCATGTCCAAAGTTGTGATTCCTTCTAGTGTGCATTTCTAATTATAATTGGTTAAGGAATTTTTGCACTTTGTTAAAGAGTGCTTTCGTACTTTTTGGTCTCTCTTTGGCTTCTCGACGAGGTATGTGTGGTTGGGTTCACGCTTGAAATAGTCATGGAGATCGCTGAAGAGAGAATAACTCTAACTAGAAGATCACAAGCCTCCAAATGGATACATAAATTATTTCACATTGAGATTCTTGCATGCCCCCACATCTAGGTGGCATGCCCTTTGTGAACCTCTCTTTTTATTATAAACTTAGTATTACTGTAATCAGATTTCCTTATTCTTATTTGTGTTCTTCTTGCAAACTGGATCTTTTAATTGTTTTCTTAGCAGTAAAGATGTTTATTTTACAGTATCTAAACATGACTACCTTACTACATATTTTTTTAAAAAAATACTTTTATTCCCAAATTGACTCGTAATATGGTTAAAAAACTATTGAAAGTATAAAGAATATACAAATAATGGTAAAACATCTAAACTATAAGTACCAAATAAATATCATTAAAATTGATGGAATATGGAAATAAAATATTAAAATATGCATATTTAATTAACTTGAAAACCATAATTTATATATGGGAGTGAGTGGTTTAAATTAAAACCAATCTAATGGCTACTAAAATCCCACAATACTAATAATAATATATAATATTATAACTGTACACCTAAACTTTATATCATCCCTTCCTCTCAAAATGATGGAAGGTAATTAAAGACATTAAAAAGAAGCACTAATGGATTTGTAAGTGGTGTCAATTGTTCTTAATCCCTTTGTATATACACAATTTCTTGAGGATTGGATTATTGAAAATCATACTAAACTTTGTAAACTTATGACTAACTTGCTGCAATATTTGACATAGTCCCTTCTAATGAGTAAAGAACCCCTTAAATAAACCATATATTGTAAGATTGGGAAATTAAACTACACTAAGTCATCCACTTTATACTTTAAAAATTGATGATAATAGGAGTTGTGGCACCATTGTTGTCCCACTTGTACATGGCCCAAGTGTTTAATAAACTCCACTCAAACTAGTGAAAGAATGTTTGTCAAATAGTGATCCCATGATATAATATTTGTCACAAATATGATTTTAGGTATCAAAATTTACTTGTCAACCAATCTTTACGGACACTTTCTTTACTACTATGATGGTAGGAGGTCAATGCTGCTAGTTCTTTTTATAATTCCCACTTGAAATAATTGAGAATTGATCAATGCATGTGTATTTAGATTGGATAAACATAAGGTAGGAACTCCTAGTCTGACACCATTTGGCATGCAAGAGTTGGATACAGGGAGTTAATGTGTATAAGGGATATGAAATGCGTACTAAACCCTCTCATAGTATAACAGGTTTAGAGTTTAACTCCAGATTTAGGTGCACTATAGCATTGGTAGCTTGTGGCGATTGCAAAGGTAAATTGAACTTCATTAGCAATATCATATTATGATTATATAAGAGTTTATATAGTGAATTATCAACATAACCCTATGATATATGTATACTAAACAAATAACAAATAACCATCTCAATCCAAATATTGAAATTTACATACTTTATAATCATTCTTTTGAAGGTCCAAATCTGTTTATAAATGATAAGAACTCATGATAGTGTAGTGTATCCCTAGGCAAGACATTAAAATATGGCCATAAATGTAGAACCATTATCCCAGAGAATCCATCAAATCAAATGCCACCAACTCAAATAAATGAGAAATTGCAATTGACTTCAACTGTTTTTTATAGCACAAGGGGGAGTATTATGAGTTTGACATCAAGTGCAACTATGTACATACTAGATAATATCACATTGCATCTCCAGCCAATAGAAATACTTATGTAACTTCTTAGTCATACAATGATGTGTCATATACCTACTTAAAATAGAAAAATTATAATAGGCATGGAGAAAGCACTAGTTGTAAATGATCATTAGGATTAGTCACCATAAAATAAAAAAGTTATCCTTAAGATGATATTGAGAATGTAAATATCAAAAGGTAAGTTATCAACAAGTGATGAAGATTCATAAACCCATCACAAAGCTTAGATATATGGCTTAACTTTTTTAAGCCTCACAAACCTCATCATAAAAAGGTAAATCTTACTCCACACTTTATGGATAATGAACATCAAATATAACAATTATCAATAATATGGAATCTTTATCTATTAATATTAAAATAACAAGCTCCTTAGGAATAAAAGAAGAAAGTGAAGAAGGGAGGAGAGTTTCAAAAAGAGCATTAACATCAACTATAGAACTCCCTAAATGATGAATAACTTCAAAGTTATATATTTAAGGCTTTAAAGCTCACCAAATAATATAATTAACTAAGTTCTAGAGCTCACTAAACAATATAATTAACTAAGTTCTTCCACTTCAATAATGAAGTAATCGCAACATAGTCACCTTATAGTAATATCCAAGAACCATATAAATATACATGAAGCTTCTTAAAACTTTAACTTCTCTATTATAAAGTAGTTCATTTCTACTAGTTGCAATATATAACTGATATAGGATCAATATTTGATATTCGAAGCATCCACATACAAAATAAAAGGTTAAGTGTAATCAAGATATGCTAAAATTGGAAGAGTCACCAACAACTCTTTAAAATCTATAAATGCCCACTTGCAATCCTCAAATTAAATTAAGAACAATATTGATGACTTTGGCAATACTTGCAATAATGTAGTATAATTAAAAAAAATGGTCAACAAAATAATTAAGATATTGCACCTTGCCAAAGAAGTGTTGCACATCATTCACGCACTTCGGAGTAAAGAACTTTAAAATAGCCATAAGTTTGTTATGATTAACTTGCAAACCTTCACAAAAAATATAGTACTCAAAATAGAGAATGACTCGAGAAATAATCCATGGGGTTCAAATATAGAGGGAAAGGGCCCATGAACAAGAGTGCACCCCCTTTTCCAATCGGTTAAGAGTCTTGGGATATTTGGGGTTAAGCGTCCTTGGGTTTGAATAGTACTGGGCTGAGTGACCTCCCAAGAAATCTAAACTCTGGAATTTACATTTGGTATTAGAGGGGTTTCAGGTCCGACTCTGTTGGTTGGCTAAGGGAATCACACCATATGTTGACTAAGGGAATCACACCATATGTTGATTGACATTTGGCTGGTCCAATTTGCTCCCAAGGGGTGTGTCAAGAGGCTCTCGAGAGAATTGCAGCTCCTCACGCCCATTCATGAGGGCGTGAACTTGCAAGGAAGCATGGTGGATTGTAAGCAACTAAAGATAACGACTCGAGAGATTGTCCATGGGGTTCAAATATAGAGGGAAAGGGCCCATGAACAAGAGTGCACCCCCTTTTTCAATCAATTAAGGATTTTGGGATATTTAGAGTTAAATGTTTTTGGGTTTGAATAGTACTTGGCTGGATGACCTCCTGGGAAGTTTAAATTCAGGAACTTACAGTTGTGTGTTTAGACCCAAACACGTACTTTGATGGCTTCAACTTTAAACTAACTTCTTACAATTAATCCAACACCTTGAAAACATCACAAACATGCTTCTCTTACATCCCATCCAAGTGGACCAAAATATCATTGATGAAGTCATCATTCACTTTTAGATTGTTGGAGGGGACCAACATATCATTGATGAAGTCATCATTCACTTCTAGATTGTAAAAAATTTTGTCTATCATTTGTTGAAAAGTCACTAGAGCATTGTTCAAATCGAATGCAATCACTAAGAACTCATATAAACCAAATGATGCATCTTCTTCGGCTATCAACACTTGTCAATACCCAAAAAAAATATTTACTTAGTAAACTAGCAACTTTTCCCCAAATAATTTAGTAGATCAATATTATGAGCAAGAGGGTACATATCTAGGATAATCATCTAATTTGATAGATAATAGTTGATGCACAATCAAATACCCCTATCAAATTTTGTCACAAGATGAAGTTTACATATTAAAAAACTCCAAGACTTTTGGATAACACACTTCTCCAATGTTTCCTTGATATTTGCACATAAAATCTTGATTTCCTTTGGCGACTAACAACGAATAAAAACCTTAATTGGACAAGCATCCTAGTTAGAATAAGATAGTATGTTGCAATCTTAGCCCTAGATAATAAGTCAAAGAGATTAGTATACTCCTTAAGCTGGTCAATTGCTACAACATAAATGCCATCAAAAGGATATGATAAAGGAAAAGAGGAGCAAGATAAAAATATAATAGGAAATAATAAGGAGACAAAAATGATAGAAGCATAAGGATGAACTAGAACAAAAATAAAAGGAATGGAATAAAAATGAGATAAAGAGGAGATGCCTCAAAGTCACATTTGGCATAATTACATTGCAATTAATCTATATTTAAGGATGACGTTAAAAGCTTAACTTGGCACTACTCACAATAATTGAAACTCAAGCTCGAAATCACCCATATGCACAATTAAGTTCACCTCATCATGCGTATTTGTATGTGTATGACCATTGTTATAAAGAATGAAGACTGGCTTTGCTATAGGACACAATTGTAAATGGCAACATGTGGCAATAAACCAAATAATAAAAGATAAACTCAAGCCTGTATTAACTAATACAGACAAAACAATAAGAAACCTCTTATTATAAGAATAAGCTTGAAAAGTAAACACTAAATGAATTAGTGTTAAGTGAAGATGGTACTCTCGAAAAAAGGATGAAAGAGTCACTAACTTAGTTACGTAAAAACCCTCTACTACTTGTGCAATTCCTTGTTTCCTAGAAGAATCTCTATGTCATGACCTTCCACTACAATAGCACCAATATGACATTATTAACGTCAAGGTAAGAT